TTTTTTTTTTTAATCTTCAAACTTTTTTACTGATTAAGTTTTTTATTTTATTTTTCTCATTTTCATGGGACACGAGTCAACCTAAGCCTCTAGATATCATCGGTTCTGTCAACCGACTTTTCTCATTTTGAATTTCTTTATATTTTATACTTTTTCTTTTTTTTTTTTTACTTAAACAAATTCTTAAATATTTTAAGATTCACTGTATAAGTATGCACTTGTACACTTAGGCTCACTTGGGCTCGTACATAGGATATCATGTAATGGAATAAGATAAATTTTACGTAAAATTGTTTTATTCGCATAATATTTTTATTTTTATCCCTCATTTAATAATTTTAACTTTCATGTTAAAAAAATTCAGATTAAAATTTAAGTTATTAAAATATCCTCAGAGTAGCAAAGCAGGCCACTTGTCAGTCAAAAAACAAGATTTCGGTGACCCCAACTAGATCTATGGACAAGCTAGCGACCCCAAGGATGAGTTCAAGCCAACGATGAAGACAAGCTAACGGCCCCAAGCGGATCTGTCTACAAGCCAGCGACCCCAAGGACAGGTTCGAGCTGACGATGAAGACAAGTTGGCGACCCTGACCAAACAGCGGCCAAACAAGCCCTTTGCCTGCTTGGAGATAAACCACCGCCAGGCCCAGGCACGAGAACGTGCTGGTGGCTGCCACAACGACCCTCCCGAAGAAACTGAGAATCTGAAAGATGACCCTATGGCTTCTAAGAAAAACTAGGTACCCTCTAAGTATCCAAAAGAAAACATGCACTACGTAAGTATCCCAAAAAACCATGCACCCTCCTACTCATTAAATGAATCTAGGAATGTTATGGCCTTAACCAAGGACGATTGTTAAAGTATTATGGCGTTGATTTGGAAAACATATAAAAATGGAAAAAGTTACTCACTGTTGACGACTAACCTTTCAACAACCTCCGTCGACAAACCAACCTTCTAAGCCCTTAAAATTTGTTGGAACCTAGAGTCCTTCAGTCGAGTGTGAATCTTGTCAAACATTGTCGCCAACCACGCCTGTAAAACACGAAATCATCAAGGGCCTCCACCACTGTTGCAAGGTTTCCAGAATCCAGACAACCTTTGCCAACATATGTGCCTGTGTTGATGTTGGTCCCTTTCGTCGTCGTTAGTATCCTTAATTTTCCCCTGGTGTCTGTCTCCTTCAATTTCGTCTTCAACCCAGATCATAGCCATCAACCTTTCTCTCTCCTATTTGGTACAACTATATAATCCTCCCAAAGCCATTAAAAATCTGACTCAAAACACCCTATCTAAACCCAATCCCTCCACCTGCTTTATCCAATCCAGAAACTATAAACTTAGATCCTGATTCTGATCCAAATCCAGAACCAGAACCAGAACCACAACCTTTCTTACAAATATTTATTAAAATGTACTTATTGGCTTCCACTTGATTAATTGGTGCCATTTTTTTACTAAACAGATAAAGAAGAAAATAAGTAATAGAGTACCTCAACATTTTAAAGTAGGTTTTAAATGTTCCAAAACACTAAGATATCCTCACATGGCTCATTTTAGAAACCTCGATATAGTTATCTATATCTTTAAACTATTTCTTCATTGATAATTTTCCAGTCATGTCTTCCATGAAATATCGAAATCTGAGCATCCATTTCAAATTTTCAAGTTTGCTATCGAAATCTTTTATTGTGAAAGTTGTTAAATAAGGTAAAAATATAACCGCCTATGTCAACAGACAAACTTCTGTATTTTGCGTGCAACGGCGAAAAGAGCACTTAGGAGTAGGTGAAACCAGCTTAATGAAAATTCTGTCAAGTAAAATAATATCTTGGAGGGAAAACACAAAAGATCGAGACTTCGTACAATTAATGTTAACTCTAAAGTACGTACAAAATGGGTATTTCATGGTTGAGAGATTGAGAAGTGTTAGCTAATCAAATTACACAAGAGGTCACGTTTAGTTAGTTCATTTCAATCTCTTTTGGCAAGGATGTGCTTAATGTTTGATGAGTAATCGCAGTTGGTCTAAGAAAATAGGAACATATAAACTAAAACATTCAACGTAACACACACACACACCTCTCACATACATAAACACGCTGTCGTGACAATTTGAAAAACTTGGAATCTGGAAGCATCAAGGATATATCCAAAAGATATATATTCTAATATTATATTCATTATGTTTGTGATAAATCATTCGTCAAAATGATAAAAAAAGATCATATGTAATTAATACTTAAAAGTAATTCATTTATGCTTAGATAATACCCTTCAACATGAACCAAAAATTCGTATCACTCTATAATAACAACGACTTCATTCATTTAATAACCAAAGTATGTATGATATATGCTTTAGGATTACATTAGCTTGCCTCTGGGTTTGTAGAGAAGCAATAAGCTAAGCTAAAGCTCTTTGGTTTTCTAGCTTAGTTGTCAGGGGTTCTTTTTTTGGTGCATTTTTGTTTTCTAGCTGGGTGGTTTTGCGCAAGGGTGATGGCTCTCATTTTGGTTTGTTCAGCTTACATATGAGTTATTCTTTATTCTTAGGCCTTCTAGGCTTTAATCAATGCATTGGTATCATTTTGTTTTTTTTAAATGTTGTTTTTGTAAAAGGTAATAAATAGTGAATAAATCTTATTAGATATTGTGACTGCGTGTCTATGCGTTAAATAAATATTCTTCAGATATTTGAACATGTGTCCAATATTTAATAAGAATAGAATAAGAAGAACATACACATGGTGTATTAGATACCTGCCTTAGTATGTTTATGAAGTATTGGATATAAACAAACATCAGGCATGAACATGTCAAACCAATTGTGTGTTCATACTTCCTAATTAATCAGGATACAATAAAATCACTATAACACAAGTAATCGAGGCAATGTATGAGCAAGTATACACACATAAAAGGATAAATACATGGCATAAAATGTATAACCTTTTAAGTTTTCTGGGCAACACACACACACACTAGGTAGCCGCTTACTTAGGAAGATTCTACCTCCAGCCATTTTATATGCATATTGATTAAACTGAACATACAATTAGTGGACTATAAACTAAGTGACAGGAGCTAAAACTTTTTTGTATTCACCAACTGGAAACATGCATGATATTCTTTTTCTTTCTTTCCTTTTTCGGGTCGAAAACATTTAAGTTATTTCAAGGCATGCAAACGCAATAAAACCATAGTCTGTGTTTCACAAACTGATAATGTATAGCATAATGTCATGGACAAAATTAATATTTACTTTTGGCTAGCTATGAGATGATCATGCCAATCGGGTTTCTTCGCTTACACCTTCCTGTTCATCGCCTACTTTGGCCTTGGTCGGAGTAGGTGCAAGTTCATCTGAGAGTGCTAGCTGGGGCCTATGATGAAGCTCTGCATTGAAGATACTAAAGACCAATTAATATTACTGAAATTCACTTACCAGTTATATGTTGCTTTATGAAACATTTACATAGACATGATTATTAAAACATAATACACAACCGAAGAGAATGAGTCTATAGGTGTCAATTTAAGTGGTATTGGTCCTCATTATCACTTGCTGATATTACAAAGCATTTTCAATTTGCAAATAACTGTGCGTAAACTATTTTTTTTTCCACAATTGCATACATCAATAAAACAACAATAACCAGATTCTTCAATCATAGACATACACAATATAAAAAACAACCGCCTACTTAATTTCTTTGCTCATTAGTTATGATCTATTTTCTTGATTAAGCAAACTGGTTATTAAAACCATTCCATTCGTAGCTGAAGGTAGGCTGCATATTTGATGCCTGCTGCAGTGAAGCTTCCCACGCGGCCATGCCATGATTGGAGACTTGCATATGCATGGAAGGCATAACAGGCTGGGTGGATGATGACGGCACCGTCATCATGTTGGTATGTTCTGGCTGCTGATTTTTGAAAACATCTTCTTCGTTAATTAAGGAAGTAAGGAATGTTGAGAAGATATCATCGTTGAAGTACCCAATACAGTTGTCTTGATTGCCGTAGTTTCCATGGGTGCTCTGCAACCCCATCAACGTTCCATCACTGTGGTTCCAGCTGGTTTGATTACAATTATTAGCAACTCGATATTCTTGTGGATAATGATCGGACGAGTTACCCTCTTTGTTCTCGACAACAAGTGTTCTGGGATCGGGGCTAGGGTTGGAGACATGGTTTGCTACTAAAGCTCGTTCCGATTCTAGTGACTCTAACCCAGCTGAGAAGCTCAGGTTAGGATTAAGGTTGGGGAATGGATTGGGATTTGGATCTGTGGACAAAATAGCCGTGGAAGAAGTGGAGAGATCAGGATTAGGGTTAGGGTTAGGGTTGGGGTGGGTGAGAAGAGGCTTGTGAGTTCTGGGGTCTATCCCTTGGTTGATGAGCTTCTTGCTGAGATGGGTATTCCAATAGTTCTTTATTTCATTGTCTGTGCGTCCCGGCAGTCTTCCAGCAATCAGAGACCACCTGATCATGAGAATAAAATTAGTTAAGAGCATGCTCCCTCCATCATCAAACACAATAAGCTCATATACATACACATACACGTACATAATTAAAATTCTTAATTGAAGTATGTATACCTGTTGCCAAGCAAGCGATGGAGGCGGAGGATGAGATCTTCCTCGTCAGGAGCAATACGGCCACGCTTGACGGAGGGGCGGAGATAATTCATCCACCGGAGCCGACAGCTCTTGCCGCAGCGGAGGAGACCCGCACGCTTTGGTAGTGTCCTCCAACGCCCTTCCCCTTCTCTCCTCACGTAGTTTGCCAGAATCTCGTCTTCCTCTGGAGTCCATGGCCCCTTCTTCACCCCCGCCGTCGCCTTGTCCTTCGTTGATGTACTCTTCCTCATCTTTCTGTCGATATCAATTCTCTCTTTGACTAAGTTTGAAGATGGTGATGCTGACGTTAAAGCTTTATTTCTTTAAGCGAGCAATGGATATGGATAGGTGTAAATGAAGCGGATAGGGTTCATGGTGGATTACCTTATATATAGTCAGATGATATGAAGGCCGAAATCAAAGAAAATGGAATATTAATTTGACCCCGCACCACCCCTCAGAAAGGAAAAAAAAATTATATCCATATGCATATACATATATACATATATATATATATATATATATACTTGGACCAATAATGTCCCAACAGCTGGCACCAGGATGTTTAGAACAAAGTTAGCTATAATAATATATGTGATTGCATGGGCGGCTTTATCATCTTGCGCGTGCGTGCCTGCCTACCCATGAATGGTCTTTCGCAGTTTCTTTTGAATAACAGAATCCCGCTGCTTTAATCTAAATATAACAGAGACTATAGACTAAAGACCGGAGGAAATCTCTTGGAAAAACGTGGGCCGAATCTCCCAATTTCCATTGACCGGTTCCACCATGGGATTTCTTGCAACCTATCTGACCTCCCCATCTCTAATCTTCCAACAAGCTCCTGTTACCTGCACTGCCCCAGAGTGGAGGCTCTATGGATACATATGTATAGAGACATAACGAGGGAGACCAATCATCCATGCATGCATCCAGGTTTATGTACAGAGAGGGACCAATCACCAGAACTCTATTCCTTCCCTGGTATTTCATCCAGGTTTATTATTTAATAGATTTGTTCTATTTTCAATTTTTTTTTTATGCATTGAGAAAGTAGCTGGAAATTTTTTTTTCATGTATAATAAAACTGCTAATAATTCCTCAAAATACCCACAATTATATATACAATGACACAATTAGGTTTCCGAAGAGGTGTTGAATGATTTCTAAGAAATAAAGCATTAATTTCTGCATATATAATATCTTTTTTAGCTTCCAAGTATCAAATTTTGCGAAGACAGTTTCTTTTTTAGCTTGTCTTTGTTAAATAATTTCTTAGCATATCCGGAAGATAGTGATATTGTAACAGAAATTTAAAAAAATAAAAAAAGATAATATAGTTGTATATATAAATGAAACAGCACGCCAGCGGCACAAAATCTAAGTTACGGAAGTTGTAAGGGCTGAAAAGGAGTTGGGAGTTGTACAAGGGAAATGCATTAGTTTGGCGGTGTATTTCTACGTGTCAATTTGTACGTTAAATAGAGTGCTCCCCAATCCCTCGACGGAATCGATACAATCCTTCCGTACATTGACATGGGTAGAGGATGGGCGGTGAAAAGTCGCATCGAACCTCATGGGCCAGGATTGTGGCCTTCTAAGAGAGCCCAGTCTACGTGCATATGGGTTTTGGTTTTGGTCGGCCAGCCCCGTCTCCTTTCCTTATGATTGGAGTATAATTGGCAGCAGAGTGGATTTCAATTTAATTTTAATATAAATTTGATCTAATTATTTAAAATTTATAATTAATAAAAGGGTTGATTAATATAATTTAATTTAAAAAATTTATAATTTGAAATAAATAAAACGAATATGGATCTTATCTGATTTGATTTGTTAAAAATTCGAATTCGATTATACATATATAATATCATACATAGTATTATATTATATATATATATATAATACACACACAAATAACCATTATTTTGTTTATATGTGAATAAATTTTAGAAAAAGTAAATAAAGTGTACCACAATTTAGTTTATAGAATTAAACAATCTTTATTAGGCAAAATAGTTTAAATATAAATAAATAATTTATATAATATAATTAATTTTAATATTTTATTTTTAATTGTGATTGAGTAATTCATTATTGCGTTTAATTATTAAAATTTTCTAGTATTAATATTTACAAAATATACTAATTACATGCTTCATTTTTCATATATTTTCCTTTTTTGTTATTAACTTTTGTGTGGATAAATGGAATAATATTTAATATAATTTTTGCATCAAAATTTTCCTTATTCAAATTCGGATTATTTTTTTGGATATCGAATTATTTTTGGATTCAGACATGGTAATACTAATCATAGATCTTATAAGATCTCGAGTCGGATTTGGATATGATATATTATTATCAGATTCGGATCCAGATCTATCATAATCCGGTTCGAATCCGACCCATTAGAGATTAGTGTCAGTGAGTTTAACATAAGGTTAAAAATTTATTACCTTTATTAATTTAGAGACTGGCTTATTTCTCACTCAAAAATAATAAACCTTCTCTGTTTTTTAGCTCCTCACTAAAACGTCACGTTTCAGACTTTTTTAAGCTGTTACACATGCTCCCACACGCTTCGGGAAGTTTGGCCCATGCGGTTAGCACTTCCCCACACGCACACTCACTTGCATGCACCTAAACCTCACTCCCACGTGTTTGGCTTGCCTGCCATGTGTCACATGCACTGAATTTTCCACACGCTTGCTCTGTCTATCGTGTGAACTTCACATGCGTCATCTTTAACCTTACTCTCCGGTTCAGGCCTCTATAATCTGATTATCCAACCTAGCTTAGCTTCCCTCCAATCCCCTAATCTAATTAGAACACTCAATGTGCCCAGAAACCTCCAAATACACACACTTGCACACCCAAACTCCAAATTGGGAAGAAATGAGAAGATCAGAACTCTAAAATCCAGAAAAATCAGAACCCACGCACACAGAACCAATTTATGGAAAGTTCTCCCAACCTTTGTTAATCACATCCAATTACAAAGGAATTAAGCACTCTCTTTCTCTCTCTCTGTCATTCGATCTCTTTCTCTAGATCAAATTGAAAGAGATCAAATCTCTCTTTGGACTTGATTCCTTTCTGATCGAAGGCCCCCCTCTTAGAATGGAGGAATGTCCTTCTATAGGCTCTTGCATGAGCCAAAGCCATCCTAATCTACTCAGAGATTTATCCCTATCTCCTTTACAATCGGCATCCCTCAACTGAATCTCCATTTCCCTATGATCTAATATATACCGAGATCTCCTCCAAATCTAATTTGAACCTCCCAAGCATCCCTCTCGCGATCTTTTCATGCTTGGGCTTATCTTCCCAGATCTTTGCTCTTAGATCTTCAGCTTGAGTTTCATCCGTCATAATCGCAACCTTTGCTACTCTAGAAGCTTACTTGCTCTTAGATCGATCTTCATCTTCTTCCATGGCCAACCGAAGCTTCTTTGTGCAGTTCATAGGAACTTAGGTCAAGTCTTCGACCTAGTTTCCATTTGGACGCTTGAACTTGCTTCTTTCCTTTGAAAACCCAATCCATCTAGGTCAGTCTACTAGGGCAACCCAAGCCTGCGTGCTAGGGCTTGGGTCTACTATTATTGGGCTAGCTTGGGCAGCCTTCTCTAGTCTAGTATTCTTGGCTTGAACCCCCTTGGGTCCAACTTTATCTCTTAACCAAGTTCAACTCTTCTAAGTCCAACAAGCCTGGACGAATCCGCTTCCTTGCCCCATTTTTGACAGCCTCTAAGACCTAGTCCAAATGCAATCTTCTTAGGCCTATCAACCCAAGTCTAGTTTCAAGCCCAATGCTATCCCAGATCCAATTTCAACTCTAAACTCAACCCAACTCTTTTGGCCTGGTCCATGGCCTATTTAAATTGGCCAGCTTAAACCCAAATAAGCTAACACTTAGACAAAAAGGAAATGATGCTTGTAAAATTCATTTAAACGTCTCTTTCTCTATATTAGACTTAAACCTTTAATATAATTAAAATAAATAAACAAATAAATAAATGAAAGATATTACCTCCTCTTTTGTCCTTCCTCTGTGAGATTGTCTATTCATGGCAAAAACTGTGGACTAATATTAACCATTTCAGATTTGGATCATGTTTATCCAAATCTAGAAGTTTAGATCATGTTTGCACCTTTTTTTCTTAATTTCCAAAATCATTTCTAGATTATATACATGTAACAGTAAAATGAATGATAATTTAACATGCGTTTGTTATCATCATCTAAATATTTTTTCTTAATCTTCATGGTACCATTTCTATGAACAGAAATTTTTCTTTCCAGTGGGACATCTAAATATTTTTTCTTAATCTTCATGGTACCATTTCTGTGAACAGAAATTTTTCTTTCCAGTGGGACAATTGATAATATAATAATCTTCTCCCTACCTTACACAACTCACCTACTGTAAACAAAAAACTTAGTCATATGTGATATGCCTATGCAGATTTTGACGCTAATATAGTACATCTATAATTAAAGTGTAAGGAGAAAGAAATGGGTCCTGGTCATCAGTCAAGCATATTATTGGAAAACTATTCCGTGGGCGTGATCAAAATAGCAAGTAATTAGCTAGTGGAAGTTATGGCCTCGTTGTTTGCTTGGATGGGTGATTTTGTCAATACAATCTGTTATACAGTGTCAATAATGTTTGTGAGTTGAAAGGAGTAATAACCCACAAAACGGATGTACGTAGTATTAAATCAACTTTGGAGGGGTTAATCAGATGTCAATTATCTTCTTCTTCTTCTTCTTCTTCTTCTTCTTCTTCTTCCTCTATGGCATTAATTCTCTGCTTTGCTTCATTTACCTTTTGTTTTACCTCCTTGCTTTCTTTCCTCTATTTCCTT